GGGGCGCGGGGCCGGAGCTCGCCGCCAGCCACGTCCTTCACGCCTTGGCGTGGCTCCAGGAGGGTTATTTGCACATCACGCCTGAAGTACCAAAAGTCAGCGGGGTTTTCTTCCTGTTGTTTGTGTGGAGGGAAGTGCAGGAGTAAACCAGGAAAAATGAGTTTTGACTTTGGCAGAATACGTAAGTGTAAAAAACCAGAAAGCGCGCTGCACTGTGTTTGAACCACAGCTTTTGGCAGGAATAGCGCAGCGTATCTGGGTTGGGAAGCAGAGATGAGTACAGCCTCAGAGTGAAATCACTGAGGAATTTTTATTATTTGCAAGCTTTAATTTTGCCAGGGCACAAATTCAGAACCTCAACCTCTTGTCACTCATGCCGCGCCGCCTTTTTCGATTACAAATACTCATTTTGCCTTTGTGTTTATTTCGCGCTGGTGCGACAGACGAGCGACGGCCGAGCGTCAGCTCGGAGGCAGGACTGACGGACACCATCACCCTCTCTATCCAAGCACCACCGGAGCCAGGCACAGTGTGAAAGGGGCAGGATGGGCAGCAACCACGTACTTTAAGCCTATGATATTTCACCACTGAGTCTCAGCTCTGTTCTGGAGGGAATGGAGTGAGACAGTAGATTGGTTTCCACCAGTCATTTGTCAAACTTAGCCTTGCTCATAAAGCTGTCAATAAAGCCGGCAACCACAGCAGCATTTTTTTGTTGTTGTTGTTGTTATGTGGACGCCAGGAAGTGCCGGAGCCCAGGGAAGTTGGATGGGAACCAGGAGCCCAGAAAAGAAAGGCTCCGGATGTCATTAGGGAGCTCCTGAGAAATCAGTTCACCCCACAGTATCTCCGGTATCGTTCTCACAGATGATGGCGGTTTAAAAGCCGTGTTTATTTTCCTAGTGGTGGCACCCCGCCTCGATAGTCACAGAGCTGCTTTGTCACCAAGCGGAGCTGCAAGTGCTCCGCAGACCCTAACAATCCACTCGTGTGCCAGGGATTTGGGCTGATGGGGCCAAGCTCTCCTGGAGAAGGGGTGCTGCCCGGCTCAAACTGAAGAGGACAACTGCCCGTGTGAAGATGGTGAGAAGCACTGAAGGAAAAAGCCGGGCTGAATGCCACTGCCATACAGTGCCTGCATTGATTACAAATTTCAGTACGCTGTGCCATCTCAGCAGCACAGGGAAATTTATTTCCAAGCCACAGCGGAGGCACATCTATTGCTCTGGAAGCCTTTGACACCCTTTCAGATGTGTACTGTTGAATAAAATAAATCAAAGTAAATAAGGTAGAGAGGTGAATCCCTTGCTGCTTCTCACTTACCGGTATCTACTAAGAAAACACCGTAGTTGTTGTGCAGATCGGAGCTCTCTGGACAATTCTCTATGCCAGCCTTGTAGACCTCCTCTGCTTCCTTCAGCCGTTCCTTAAAAGAGAAGGAGATCTCTTAGCCATGGCAGAAAGGGCGTCAGCGCCATTTGCCGCCTACCTGCATTTCGTGACAGCCCCCTCCCTGCGCCGGGAGCTCAGGGTGCCAGCCCACCCTGCCTGCCGGGACGCCCAAATTTCACCCCCTGGCATGGATGTGACACAGCTGCTGTCTGGCAGCCCGGAGCAATTCAGACAGCTTTCCCCCATACATTCGCAATTGGAGCTACCTGTGGGACAAAAATAAGCTGGAAAAGGTGGGTCCTGTGCAGTGTCAGCGAGCCCCGGCTGGGCACGCACCCAGCCTGGAAACACACAGCGACAGGGGTTGTGTTGGTTCTGCTGAGAAACATCTGTCATCTGGGAGCTGACAGATTTTAATTGATTTGTTTAATGAGCATCTCGCTGGCCAACTTCTCCCCTCTGGAGCTCCGCTGTTCCCGCCCTAAGCATGGGGAAAAATATAAGGAACAAAAGCTTGGCTGGGGGATGGGGAGCTTGCGCAGGGGGTTGAGGGGAGCTGGAGGAGGATGGGGGGCAATGAAAGAGTGAGGAAAATCTGACAGCTTCAAACTAAGCGTCGTCAATGCACGAGATGCAGCTCACCGGGACCGACAGGACGTGCCACCGCACCGATGCCCACATGCACTAAGCCCGTACATTTTGCACAGATTTCAGGGAGGTTTGTTGGCGCTGAGCATTTCCGGAACACACGGATCTTTTCTTTGGGAACACCCTGCCTACAGAAGGTGTCCCGCTGGCTGGGCTCCATCTAGCCTGAGCTACGGGCAGCCCAGTCCTGAAATGAAAATAAGGTGTCTCGTCTGGATCAGCCAGGAACTTCATAAGGCCTCCATTTGCCTCCAGCCAGCCAGTGCATGCCCACTGCCTGCACGCTCGTTAGCCCGCGTTATCACGGTCTTCCTCCCTGCCTAACCTCAGAGCTTTGCTGTTGGGTGTATTTATGGAAGGAGGCCGTGACCAGCAGAGGCAAGCACGGTGCAGAGAGGTGTCAGGCAAGCCTCCAGCACCAAAGATGCCTTTTTCAATTCTTCCCCTTCCGTGGAGCAGCACAGCTCTATGGCAACAAACTCCACAGCCTCCTGATGATGCTCCCAAGCAAAAGCAGCCATCCAGGTCTCCGCTGAGGAAGGCCTAGAGCCACCAAGGCAGATCTGCTCGGTAACTGAACCCACACTGGAGTAAGAGGTCGGTCCATTGCCAGCTATGGACTCTCCTCTCCTCAAGTCCTGCAAATCCTGGAGCCTCCAGGGCTTTCTCTGGATTTAAAGGGTGTCCGTGACCGCAGCTTTTGCTCTGTAGCTGCTTAAACATGTGGACTCCTTTCTCACCTCCTTTTTCAGAACTGGAGACCTGGAATTAATCGCATTGGAAGAGTATGACTTGATGAAAGCACAGGGTTTGCCATGGTTAAATGCTTTCACATTTACATGATAAAGGTCAGCCAGCAGAAAAGATAAAACACAGAAACACATTTTTTGAAAGTGCTTAAGTTTGGGTATTTTGGATATATTTATGTGACATCATTACGCTGCGGGGTCAGGAAAAGTGTAGCAATCATCAGAGTTGACTAAAATGAAGAGCAATTTTTGAGAAAGCATCTGCGTCACCGAGACACAAGCATTTTTTCAAAGCTTTCTGTATTAATTTATTTTCCTCTGATTTTAACTCTCAGCCAAGGAATGTGGCTTTGTGTGCATGTATGTCAGTTTTCTTAATTTTATTCAGTGACCATAAACCCAATCTTTAAAGCACGGAAGGGCTGTGTTAAACTGGATTAGCAGTGTCCCACGTCAAAACGTTCACGCTCACCAATATTGAGCACTTCCAGCATTTTTATCACGGCTGCCTTGCTTTTTTTGGCACCTAACACCCTGACCCCGCATGCCTCAGGCTCAGCACAGAGCCTGGGATGATTTCTCTAATAAAGTGTGCGCATCAGGCGCAGTCACAAATCGGGGAGGGTGGCAGCAGCTCTCTGCGCCAGAGCTTTCTCCCTCACAGCCCCTCCTCTTCTTGGGAGAAGTGCTGGAAGTTCATCAAGGCTTAATTCTCATTAACACTTCATAACGCCGCTCCCAGACCTTTGTGAAACATTCATCAACCTCACAAAATTCAGGAGATCGGCTTAAAAAATGTATGAGATTTTTTTTATATTAGAAAAAGTTATGCCTGTGAGGATGTCTCGGTTGAACTCCAGGGGTTTTAAGGCTGGTTCTTTTATGGCTCAGTTTTCCAGCCTGGTTATGCCTGAGTCGGCTCTCCTCTGAAGCAAAGGGGGTTAAAAAGTTTCTTTTTCTTAGTGTAAGGCTCATATTATTGCACACACACACACACACAGTCACTTGAATCCAGAAACCAGGGCCTGAAAAGGGCCATCAGTAGCGCGAGATGGCTGACGAAACCACAGGAGCTGAGAAGAAGGGGCTGTTCAAGTGCGTCGGAGTAAATCCCGGGGAACCAGCATCACAGGAGTGCTGTGAAAACGGTCAGCAAAAATGCTGGATTTCTGATATTAGCACCGCTGCAGCGATCGTGGAATACAAGGAAAAGACCACCACGTTGTGACCGAGCTACGACACCAAGCAGAAAGAGTAGGAAGAAGATTTGTAAAAGGGACAAAGAAGCCAAACTTCTATACAACGTGGTGGTGGCTTTTCCACATAAGCTCTGGCTTCAGAATAAAGCATCAAGGAGAGAAAAGGGCAATTATATCGAGTTACAGACTAATTCCCTGGTGCATGAGACATTCCTCTTCAGAGTATTTTTCTGGCTGTAAGGAGCCATATTTCGGATTCATCGCCTTTAAGGTAGGGGGAAACACGTTGCGCAGCACCGATCAAGGCAATCCCAGCACTGTTCCACTGAGCTGCATCCGCCTGTTTCCCCCCTTCTTACCCTCAGCAGCAGTTTGTCACCAGCAAGGTCACCTCACTTGAGCCCCTTTCTCTCACATCCCGGCGAGAGGGAACCAGCCTGTGCTCCCTTCCCCAAAGCTCCGCAGCGATGCCGCCCATCCAGCCTACTGCACACTGCCTGGCATCACCCACACCCCCACAGCTGAGACAGGCTCCGGGCCACCAGCAGACAGAAAAACACGTTTGTAACTTTTAGCCATTTCCGACACTACTGCTTGGACAAAGGGAAGAACCCAAAACCGAAAAATGGGGTCCCCTCGTCATCCTGCGGGATGAAGATGCCAAACCTTCTGGCCGGACCCCTCCAGGAAGCGCGCGGCGTTAGGGTGGGTGTCCGCAGCCCACAGCCCCGGGCAGCAGCCCGTGGGCGCAGGACAGCCCCTGCCACGGTCACTAGGATGGGTGTGCGAGGCAGGAGCCGCACGACCAGGTAGTCGTCTGCTGAGGCTGAACATCAGAAGGCGTTAAAAGCCTGCAGGAAATTGCTATTTTCTGAGGAAATTGCACTACCTATCTTTTTTCCTCGCCACTTCTTCAAGTCACAAGAGGATGAACAATCCACAAGTAAAAGCAGGGAAATTATTGCTGGACTTACTCATGGCATTCGCTTTGGGCAGAAGGCCTCGGGACTCTGTAATGGTTTTATTGCTCTGTGACCTCACAATCAATGGTTCTAATTAATAATTTCAATTAATAATAAAACCAGGTATAACTGCGGAGGACTCATTTCCTATACTTGCAGGAGACTCCTCACTGACAGCTTATTCAAAACACAGTTCCCATTCAATAAGGTTCTTCTTTCAAGTCATACACCATATTTCTAGGTCTCTGCAGCTGACGTTGATAATATTCAAATATTTGAAAGTCCCTTAAAGGGGAAATTAAACTAGCACATCTTTCAGTAACCCTTATATATCCTGGGTAAATTTTGCGGAGTGCCTGCATGGTTGAAGAAGCCTAAACCAGAAGAAGACTTTTGCTTATAGTTCTGCTGAAATTTTTCCACTTCCCTTACCGAGAGAAGGTTTCACTAACCAGATTAATGGAAAACAGTGAAAGACGGTACTCTTTTGCTTTGTCTGTATTTGCATTTGGCAAACTTTTAAGGAAGCTTTAGCATCCCATGCTATGGAACAGCTAGACCTGAAACTTGGAGGAGAAAAAAAAAAACCAGTTTTCAAAAGGTTTGCAGATGTCTGCTGGAGCTATGCAGTTACAAGGACCTCGTCATCCACCCCCACAGCCCCAGACTGGGGCCACTGGTTGCGGCCGCAGTCCATGGGAGCAACGCCCGATGCACAGCATCCCTCATCTGCTGCTGCAGGGGTGGAGGAAAGCAGGGCTTGGCAGTCTCCACGTGGCCACCTACACTTCATAGCTTCTTCTGAACTCCAGCATTTTGTGCCTCAACACCCCTTTTCCTCCGCGGGGACAACGTTTCACCTCACAGAGACCTCGCAGAAATAAATTACCTAACTACGGAGAGTAGGGAGAGCCCCGAGTAACGAGCATGGGGAACAAGCCCAAGAGGAAATGAGTAATCCTGCCTCCAGAGCACAGCCTGGGCCACGCGCAGTAAATAAGGCCTGGGGGCACAGACTGAGCAGTGAGGTTAAATAAAATATCGAACAGCTGCTCATTAAGAGTAACATGAAGCTAGCGAGCCTTCCCACTCCCTGTACGTGATCACCCGCCATGGTAATTACGGGCTATATATCGCTGCGTCCATGCAAGGGGCAGAATTCAGGCCGCAGAGGCCACCTGGTTTCTGACGCTTCCGAGCTTTGGCGTGATTTATTCTGAGAATTCCAGGTTATCTACGGAGGCGTGCGTGTCTGAGGGGGACGCGCTCGCCTGTTCCGCTGTCACAACATTCACGGCGCAACGGATTAAGGCTTCGCGGGGAGCCGCAGAGCTGCGGAGAGGATATTTACTCCCAGCTTCCACGGCGACTTAATGCAGAGCCATCTGGAAAGCTGGGCAGAGAGGAACCTGATGAGGTTCAACAAGGGCAAGTGCAGGGTCCTGCACCTGGGAAGGAACAACCTCATGCACCAGTACAGGCTTGGGGTGGACCTGCTGGAGAGCAGCTCTGCGGAGAGGGACCTGGGTGTCCTGGTGGACAACAGGTTAACCATGAGCCAGCAGTGTGCCCTGGCTGCCAAGAA